TTTAAAGACATCCACTCCCCTGCTCTTTCCATGGAGCTTTCCAAATCTGAGACTTGGGCCGTGGGCTGGCTTCGGGGATGGGGAGGACTCTTTTTCAAAAGTCTACAGTAGAGTTTTAGGAATCTCAGCTCCCAGAAGCCTCCCTCAGGCAAAGGTATGGAAAGAAAATATTACCTTCGATATTACCTTGCACTGGCTGGACACAGGCACCTGAGAGCCTCCTAAGAATTCAGGAATAAAGGCCAAGGACACTTTAACACCCAAGGCTTCTAGAACTGCTGGGAGTTGACAGGCTGCAAAAAAATCCACCTACTACCAAGTGCCAAGTTCAAATAACATGCTTTTTCTGTGGTCAAAGAGCACATTTTTCATACTGAATCCTCACATTTTCTTTATTCTATAATAGGCAAAATTGTGAAAAGGGACTAATACTCAAAACATGAAGTATCACGTATTTCCATTTATTAAAGATAATTAGAATTTTCTTAAATTCTGAAACTCTATAGCTTTTACAGTAATCCTAATGATATCTGCGAGAGTAACTCTGAGTTCCAGTTTTCCAAAGGGGTTAAAACTTTTTTTTATTTCACATTTTTACCCCTCTAGAAGAACAAGGTTAACACAAATATAGAATTTTTAAAGGCTTGAGCTTCAAAATCATGAACTTCTATAAGCTTATGCCATATTTGGAAGAGAACAAGGTCAAGAAAAATAATCAAAAGTAAATTCCTCACTAGTCATGTGATTTGATGGTATGCACTTACATACCAGTTTGGCCATAAAGCCCTAGAAAGGTGAGACCACTGATATTGTTGGGATATTGCAAAGAATTCATTTGCTTACACTTTTTCTTCATGTCTCTACTTGGACTCCTGCTCAAGTAAAATTATAAGTTGATACAGAAAAAAAGGACCTTCAAATATCTGCAATTGGTAATACACCAGGGAATCTTTACCTAGTGATGGAAATGTAGCCACCTTTAGCTCCAGAGAGCTGGCCTAAAAACACAGCATATGTTTCACTAAGCAACATGTAAGATGTTGCTATACTCCAAGTCAAATGCCTCACTCCAGTGAGAATTTATTAAGGTTTTCTGGTGGTTACAACACCTAAACTGAATAAAATGTTAAGACATCCCCTCTACCTATCCACACACATTCATCCGTTCTCTTTCTCTATATTTACATACACACTTTTTTTAAAGGTTAGCTTCAGCTTTTCATGCCAGAAGCAGAAGGCATAAGAAAATGTCAATAGATTCCAATTCTTACATAAAACTATATACCACAATGTGAAGAACTGGTAGCTCCAGACTCAGTTCTAAGAGGAAGAGTATTCTCATTGACCACATTGGGCTAGCCACTCAGAATTCACGCCTGCTACATGTACTTAGCATCCATCATCTAAAAAGGACCAGAATGGGGCATTATACTAAACAAAATATAGTTTTTTACCCTGGACTTCACTTCAACTACCATTTTCCCCCCAGCCCCTATCTTTTTATTTAAAATTTTTTTTAAACATCTTTACTGGAGTATAATTGCTTTACAATGTTGTGTTAGTGTTAGTTTCTGCTGTATAACAAAGTGCATCAGCTATATGTATACATATACCCCCGTATCTCCTCCCTCTTGTGCCTCCCTCCCACCCTCCCTATCCTACCCCTCTAGGTGGTCACAAAGCACCGAGCTGATCTCCCTGTGCTATGCAGCTGCTTCCCACTAGCTGTCTGTTTTACATTTGGTAGTATATATATGTCAATGCTACTCTCACTTCGTCCCAGCTTACCCTTCCCCCCTCCCCATGTCCCCATGTCCTTACCCTTCCCCCTCCCCATGTCCCCATGTACATCTGCGTCTTTATTCCTGTCCTGCCCCTAGGTTCATCAGAACCATTTTTTTTAAGAGTCCATATATATGTGTTAGCATATGTATGTTTTTCCCTTTCTGACTTACTTCCCTCTTTATGACAGAGTCGAGGTCCATCCTCCTCCCTACAAATAACTCAATTTCGTTTCTTTTTATAGTTGAGTAATATTCCATTGTATACATGTGCCACACCTTCTTTTTCTATTCATTCATCGATGGACACTTGGGTTGGTTCCATGTCCTGGCTATTGTAAATAGTGCTGCAATTAACAGTGTGGTACATGACTCTTTCTGAATTATGGTTTTCTCAGGGTATATGCCCAGTAGTGGAATTGCTGGGTCTTATGGTAGTTCTATTTTTGGTTTCTTAAGGAACCTCCATACTGTTCTCCATAGTGGCTGTATTAATTTACATTCCCACCAACAGTGCAAGAGAGTTCCCTTTTCTCCACACCCTCTCCAGCATTTATTGTTTGTAGCTTTTTAAAAATTTCTTTATTTTTTGGCTGCGTTGGGTTTTTGTTGCTGGGCACAGGCTTTCTCTAGTTGTGGCAAGCAGGGGCTACTCTTCATTGCGGCTCGCGGGTTTCTCATTGCGGTGGCTTCTCTTGTTGCGGAGCACGGGCTCTAGGCACGTGGGCTTCAGTAGTTGTGGCACACAGGCTCAGTAGTTGTGGCTTGCAGGCTCTAGAGAGCAGGCTCAGTAGTTGTGGCGCACAATCTTAGTTGCTCCACGGCATTTGGGATCTTCCTGGGCCAGGGCTCGAACCCATGTCCCCTGCATTGGCAGGCAGATTCTTAACCACTGCACCACCAGGGAAGTCCCTGTAGATTTTCTGATGATGGCCATTCTGACCGGTGTGAGGTGATACCTCATTGTGGTTTGATTTGCATTTCTCTAATGATTAGTGATGTTGAGCGTCCTTTCATGTGTTTGTTGGCAATCTGTATATCTTCTTTGGAGAAATGTCTATTTAGGTCTTCCACCCACTTTTGGATTGGGTTGTTTTTTTTTGATATTGACCCCCAGCTCTTATCTTAAACAAGTGCTATGTTATCTGCCACTAAAGGACTTTAGCTGATGGTTTTATACAGCAAAGCAAGGCATCATAGGAAAAAGAGCTCACACACAGACAAGTTATAACTTTGGAGGCTTTGCTCTCTAGCATGTGTTTCTTAAGGTGCTGATGAATTATTTAGAAGTGGGCTCCACAGCTGGCTTCGTAGGATTTATACATCCCAGGTACTCAAGAGCTGGTTCTGCTCAAACAAAAACTTCTTTGCACGTAGGGGATGCCTCCCGCAAAAGAAGGACTGCAGTCACAGGTATACTGTGACTACCAGTTCAATACCACGTGCATACCAACAAGGCTAGTAAGGTATGAAATATATCAGATAATAAAACTGTCTAAAAGGAGTTGAAGAGAATCTAGCCGTTATCATTTCATTCTATACTTCCATTTTCTAAGAATGAGTGTCACTGTGATAAAACACCAACTGGCACATGGACCCATTATTTCACCTACAGCCTATCTTAGGCCAAATACAAACACCATTAAAGACTAAGAGCCTTCTTCAGGAAGATATTTTTGGATAGAACTATATATTTTGTGTTGCTAGAATTTTTTTAAAAAGATACAGAGAGTATAATACCTCTCTCACATGCCTAGCAATGTAAACAAAATTAAATAAACATCAGAAAACATTTCAGCAAAGATAATTTTAGGAAAACTCAGACTAAATTAACTTTATTTTATAAGGAATTTAGAAAACATGAGCAAATATTGATATTGCATTAAAAAAACAAATTAACTGGTACGTCATTCAAATCTTAAAAATCAAAGACTGTGACACTAAAAAAATGTAATAACAGGGGCTTCCATGGTGGCGCAGTGGTTGAGAGTCCACCTGCCGATGCAGGGGACACGGGTTCGTGCCCCGGTCCGGGAAGATCCCACATGCCGCGGAGCAGCTAGGCCCGTGGGCCATGGCCGCTGAGCCTGCGCGTCCGGAGCCTGTGCTCCGCAACGGGAGAGGCCACAACAGCGAGAGGCCCACGTACAACAACAAAACAAAAAAAATGTAATAACAGAGAAATGTGCTTCATTTTAACAAAGTACTATTAGTGGCTTATTACAACTAGATATACAAACATAAACGTAATAATGCTAAAATGATGTAAAACTCTGAATCTCCAAGTGACCATGGAGCAGGCTGAAGGGAGCACCAATTGCCATCAACGTGGGACTGCAACATATTCTATCAAAAGAAACAAACTATCACTAGATAACAAAAATAAGGATATAAATAAAATGGGGGGGGGGGGAGGAGCCCAAGATGCCTGAAATCTTATAGTAAATGGTTTATTTGGTTCTGTTGCTGTGTTGTGTCTGTTTTCTTCCTCCAAGAAAAAAAGAGGATATGCGAGGGATCCAAGAATATTTCCAAGTTATACCTTAGACTTTCATTAAGGATAACTTTATATTGAAGAAATCATGATTGATACTCCTTGTCACTTTAACCACCTAACATACTATTAAAATAATTTAACAGCTATAATATTCTTTGGTTTTTTTCTTTTTTAAAAACTCTAAGTCAAGAATACTCAAGGGAACTTCTATATCTTTTAATTTAAGAAATACATCTATTTAATTCCTGAAAATTTTATTTTTTCAAGAAGTGACAACAATATGAAGTTCTAATACACCAGGAGTCTTGAAAAAAATTAGGTGATCCAATTATAGCAATTTAAATTAGAATATTCAGGAAATATATCTGAAGGCTCAAAAATATAATTTATGATTCTTTGTGAACTGAATTTCACTGAGAAATGCTCAAAGTCTAAGTTTAAAATGTGAGTGCCATTATACTTTTTTTTAAGAAAGAAAATTCACAACCTATTCAATAATCCTGAAGAAAAATCAGATTAGTATGGTGTTTGTATGTACAGATGCATAAACGAACACTTTCAGGGGAAAAAAACAATCATATTAATATTTATAGGCTACAAATCACTTTCTTTTAAGGAAGATTAGAAAAGAGTTAGTAGCTAGGCACAGAGCCAGAGGTTGTTAGGGGAACCTAAAAGTAGTAAATACTAAAACTCTTAGCAGTGTAAAGGAATGCAAAAAATTCTTATACTACAAATTTTTAATTTTACAAAACCAAAAACCAGTCCAACTATGGCCCATACATGATAATAAAAATTGAAACAAAAACTGTGAATGCATTTTGTAAAAATTCTATTATAATATTCTTAAATATAGTTCATATTGTTCCACTGAGTCAAGTAAGATTTAAGCTCAAGGTGGTCACAAAATTAGAGAATTTTACCTTTTCTGAGGAGATTATCACAATTTCATTGCAAGAAGATAAGGTGAATAGCCCCTTAGCGACTTATATACTTTATTTCCTTCAATGGAAAGTCCAAATATTTTACTTTTCTTACGCTTCTGGAATATTATCCAGATTTACATTAAAGGGCACTTTAATGGAAACTTTAAATATAGTTTGATAATTCTGGGGATACTTACTGAAAGAAAATTCATTAGCAAATACTGGTTTCTTGTATTTAAAAAAAAAATCAGCAAGAAAGAATTTTAAAAATCTTAACTTAAAATACACTGTAAACTGCAGACAACAACTGCCACATGTATCACAGACCAGCACAGGTAAAAAGTTTTTTCCAGATGTTTTATAAGACTTTGTATCTTCCTTTATTTGTTGGTTGGTAAGAATTTTGCTACAAGAGAAAATAAAAGGCATATGATCAGTAAAAGGGAGAAAAAAAAAAGAAATATGTTAAGTAATTTCCTTTACAAACTTATAAAACTATCAGATATTTAAAATAAAAAATATTAATACTGAGGAAGAAAGAACTATTCAACAATCATCTCCCTGTGTTCACTCGACTGTTCCTTAACAACGGTTCTGAACCAGCTTAATGGTGGTGGCATTCTTTTTCTATCACTCCTTGGTGAAAGTCACTTGATTTAAACGTTGTTTTTATTCCTCCCTCGTTTTGTGTACCTTCTATTCTTTAAATTTTTTATCCACCCGAAAGAATGTTCTGTAAGGGAAATTTTAGAAAAGCCCTCAAAAACACATTCTTAGAGAAAGGATAATGTTTCCTTTCAAAGGGTCCTCATCCCACTGTACACACTGTAGGGAGAGTTTACAGGGATGTGTCTGCTTCCTTTGGAAAGGTGGTCTATAAAAGGCCGCTTTATCCAAAATCAAATTAAGTCCTCATCAAAGTTTAAAAACACTCAAAACACCTAAGTTTAAAAACACTGGCAAAAATGTAGAGAAACTGGAATTTTCATACACTGCTGAAGGTAATATAAACTGGTGTAACTACTCTGCTAAACTACACATACCCTATAACTAGCAATTCTAGTCCAAGGTATATACTCAAGAAAATAATATATTAACGTGAATGTTCATAGAAGCATTATTCATAAAAACCAAAAACTAAAATGACCTCGAAGTCTAAAACATAAATTAACTGTGGTATATTCACATGCTTAAATACTGTACTATTTAATACTACTGATTTCCTCAAAGTAATGTTGAGTGAAAGAAATCAGATATAAAAGAGTACACAGCATTTGATTCCACTTATATGGAGTTCAAAATTAGGCGAAACTAATCTGCAATGTTGAAAGTCAGAATAATGTTACATTTGGGGGCAATGAATAGTGACAAGGAGGGGCATGAGCAGGGCTTCTGGGATACTGGTGATGTTCTATATTTCTTCAACTGGGTAGTGATCGCATCAGTGTGCTTATTTTGTGAAAATTCATCAAACTATATGTATATCATTTGTCTACTTCTCTTATTTATATTATAGTTCAATAAAACATTTACTAAAACAAATAAATAAGTCCTTGAGGTTTTCACTCACCAGCCGGATCAGTTCTTCTTTTATAAGCCTGGTGATTTCTGCCTTTGCTTTCTGCACAGCCAGTTCATTGGCACCTGGTGAGTGAGTGGAGAACATTATTTGCATTATTAGATTTATGCTGGATGTTTATCCACTGCATAGAGATCAGTACGTGACTTTCAGCAACATAGTACTACTTGCCAAGATAGTCTTTCAATACCTGGTGGAACATCATCTACATTGTATCATGGCTGCTTATTATTATGATTACTTTTAGAGTTTCAAATGTAGCCAGTGACGTTAGTGTTAAGAGTGTTAAGGATAGTGAGGTACTAGTGTTACAAGTTCTTGGTATGTTGGTATGCAAAGTAAAGATAATTCGCAATTTGTCCAGAAGAGAAGAAGAAAAAGTAAAAGGAAAATATAACTTCCTAGGTTCATTTATTTAGCAAATATTTATTGGATGTTTATTATGCTCTTTAAAGTCAGCAAATGTTTTGGAAAAGTGTCACCTGAGCAAAGTCTTAAAGATGAATGGAGGACTAGCCAAGTTGGAGGAGGAGAGATGACATGAAAAGTATTTTACAAAGGGAATCATGTGTGTAATGGTACAGATTAAGAAAGTCATGCTTAACTACTGAAAAGTAAGAGAAGTACAGCATGGTTGAAAAATTTAAAAAGTGTGTGAAAGAACACAGCAAGATAGCCAAGTAGATGAGGTAGGCTGAAGACATTTGTATAGTTATAAATTCAAGAAACATTAAGCACCCACCAAGTATGCTATACTATAAGAGATTCATTATACAAAGTACTCATTCATCTCTTTATGATCTTTTGGGCTACTAGAAAAACAAACTTGTAAAGATATTACAGCAAGATGAGTAGGTAGTAAGTAGTCTACCAGAGCAACTTTAATTATTATTAATTATTTTTTCCAAAATATGTTTAATGATGCATCTTTTTTTTTTTTTTTGGCGGTACGCGGGCCTCTCACTGCTGTGGCCTCTCCCGTTGCGGAGCACAGGCTCCAGACGCGCAGGCTCAGCAGCCATGGCTCATGGGCCCAGCCGCTCCGCGGCATGTGGGATCTTCCCGGACCGGGGCACGAACCCGCGCCGCCCGCATCAGCAGGCGGACTCCCAACCACTGCGCCACCAAGGAAGCCCTATTATTTTAATAAAATTTTATTTATTTATTTTTCACTGCATTGGGTCTTCATTGCTGTGCACAGACTTTCTCTAGTTGTGGCAAGCGGGGGCTACTTACTCTTCGTTGCAGTGTGCAGGCTTCTCATTGTGGTGGCTTCTCTTGTTGCAGAGCACAGGCTCTAGGTGCGCGGGCTTCAGTAGTTGTGGCACACGGGCTCAGGAGTTGTGGCTCGCGGGCTCTAGAGCGCAGGCTCGGTAGTTGTGGCACACGGGCTTAGTTGCTCCACAGCATGTGGGATCATCCCAGACCAGGTCTCAAACCCATGTCCCCTGCACTGGCAGGCAGATTCTTAACCACTGCGCCACCAGGGAAGTCCCCAGAGCAACTTTTAAATATCACTTCTTCCAAGAATCTTTCCTAACTTTTCCAGGTGGGGTTAAGTGTTTTTTCCCTCAGGGCTCTCACAGGATTATGTTCATACCATCATGAAAGCACATTTTTTTTTTTTTGGCCACGTGTGCGGCATGCGGAATCTTAGTTCCCTGAGAAGGAACTGAACCCCTGCCCCCAGCAGCGGAAGTGTGGAGTCTTAACCACTGGACCACCAGGGAAGCCCCTGAAAGCACATTTTTAAGGTAGAATGGACAAGATGTTTTTTCTGACTAGATGTGAACAGTGAAGAAGAGGAACGAAGATGCTAAGAGTTGAGCAGCAAGTAAAGAAAATAACAGGTAATAAAGGAGATACTGAATCCAAGAGGAAGAACAGGTGCTACTATTAGCAGTGATAGTGGATGAAATTTGATTCTGAGATCGTTGTGGCTGAGGTGCTCAGGGGACACCAAGTTGGAAATTTCAGTAAGGCCAATGGAAACAAGGAGCAGAAGTAGAGGAGAGACGGAGATTAGAGAGCCATTAAGGCTAAGTGTGGAGGGATTTGAAGCCAGGGGACAATGCCAGGAAGTAGGTACGTCTAGAGAGGTAACATGGTGCACACCTATAAAAGGAATAGAGCTGGACCAAAGAAGCAGACTAGAGATTAAGGACTAGGAGTGAAATGTCAAAGAATAAAAGAAGAACTGGGGTTGTAGAGAACTATGTTTTTATCATTTAAAAAAAAAATTTTTTTTTTTTTTTGGTTGCCCCACATGGCACGTGAAACTTCCCCGACCAGAGATCGAAGCCATGTCCCCTGCAGTAGAAGCTCGAAGTCTTAACCACTGAACCACCGGGGAAGTCCTGTTCTTATCATTTTATATAAGAAAATCAAATAAGGAAAACAATTCACAAGAAATGGGAAAATTTACCCCCTTATTAGATATGCTTTTTCAAACCCATAGAGAGGAGAGGAGAGGAAAGGAGGAAGGGAGGAGTGGGAGGGAGAAGAGGAAGAAAAGAAATGGGAGGGGGGAGGGAAGGAGGAGGAAGTGGAGAAAGAAGAGGAGGAGAAGGAGGAGGAAGAAAAAGAAACAGTTTAACAACAGGAAGGAAAGGGCCATGAGTATGGCTGTGAAGTCAGAGCAACATATCTAAGCCCTACACCTCGACCAGCCACTGACCACAAACATTTTAAAGCTGTGGGTGCTGGAAGGGAAGAAAGGTAGATGAACGTGGAGCCAAGGGTATAATCAAGAGCCAAGCCAGAATGAAAATTATTTAAAAAATGAAATTCAGGAGGAAAATATGCTACTTGGCATGAGTTGATGTGTAGCCTGTTGACATTCTCTGCTGTTTTAAAAAGAAGGAAAATGATACTCCCACCCAGCTCCAAGTGAAGAGCAATTTTCCTGCGTTAGTTAGAGCCTGACCATTTGGACCAGTTTAAATTTTTGACTGACACAGCTTCTTTAGGTAATAGGTTACATATGTTTATAAGCTGTCATGAAAAAGTGGCATTTCCTTTCATTGGTCCCAAAACAACTCTGGCTGCTTTTAAGGGATTCTCCACTAGTAAAAACAGAGGGTCACAAAACAGGCTATAAATTATACAGGCTGGCTAGGCACGTACGTCCTTCCTGTTCTCCTTCCCACTGCCGGGAGCTGCTGAGCCACACAGAGCCTCTAAGGAGCCAGGCAGTGGGGTCCCTCCAATTACAGAACTAGAAACAGATGACACTAGGCTCCTTCCAACACCTGTTTTCATCCTATTAGTGTTCAGTTGATTTGGTTGGAGTTTCAAAAACTAAAAGATCCTTTAAATCTAATCATCTATGAAAATTCTCAAAGCTTTAGGTCATTTTAATTACCAATCTCCAGCTCTTATTTAGCATATTTATGTTGCCAGAATTCTCAAGATTCATTCCTGACAAGGTTATCTTTTTACTGGGGGAGAGAAACCTTGCTTAGATTATAAAAATTAGATGTTACTTCCTAAGTACAAGTTGACAGTGGAAAGAAGCACCCAGAACCATTTTAGGTGGATGGAAAAGTCAGCAGAAGCTGTGGGCTTCTCATTTCATTTCACTTGGTAGTACAGGAGATATGTTCTGATAAAGTTATATACAAATTAAACCTGGCATACATTAATTATACTACACTAAATAAGTATAATTACCTTTAAATTAATAAATTATATATGGGATCCTTTTTCAAAGCAAACAATCATCTCTGATTTACCTCTTTAAAAGGCAGTCATTTAAAATACTGGTTTTGAAATCTTAGAGATATTCAGAATAAACTACAGTTATGTTATTGCAAAAAAAAAATACAATACTGGTTTTGCTTAAATGACACCTATGACATTCAAGCTGAATATACAAGGATGACTCCATGTTTACAAAAGGTTTTATCATCAGATTCTACTGAATGACACCCTGTATGGCCTAATGAACACAGCAGGAAGAGAGAGCTGTCCAGTTCCAAGTGCAGAAAGATTTCAGTGTAATTTTCTCTCCTTGAACGCTGAGGTGCCAGCAACCCACATTTTGCCTCACAATAAGGAACAGTGTCACATGATTCAGAAACACACTGAGTCATTGGCAGAGTGAAAGTCTTTCAGGATACATAAAAGGGTGCCATTTAAAAACCTGACTTGAAATAGATATGATCCAGTTTCTCAAAGTCACAATCACAAACAAAAAAATACAACTTGCCTAGCTCTGGACCCACATTCTTTGCATACCATTTAACATATGTATGAATCTTACTGTACTGTAAAGGTAGAATTTCAATAATATGGAAAACATAAAGGCTATATCTGAGTTTTACCTTTGCCGCAATTCTTCATTTTAAGAAGTCCGAAAGTGAGAGTGACATCAGTGAAAATGGCACAGGAGGGAACTTCAAAAGCCTGTCCCTCCACAAAAGCAGTGAATAAACTTGCAAAAACTATTAAAATCAATTTTATCAGAACTCAGAAACTAATAAAAACCTTATATCAACCGGGCAAACTCTTATTAAAGGAGAAAAAAACAAAACCCCAGCTCAATTCTGGTAACAAAACTTTTCTGTTTTTTAACTTACTCTGATCCTATCAAGCATTTTGACCAGGAAACAACTTCTACTTAGGGTAAATGGGATGCACACTGCACGTGCATTTCTCTTCTTGTAGTCTTTATGTTAAGAAGTCACACAAAAACAATTTGAGGTCACCAGTTAAAAGTAAAGTAAATAGGCACAGTACTAATTTATTTTCACATCTGTGAAATTCTTTGTTTTGGCCAGGAAAGAATCAAACCCTAAAAATAAGTCCTTGGGCTTCCCTGGTGGCGCAGTGGTTGAGAGTCCACCTGTCAATGCAGGGGACACGGGTTTGTGCCCTGGTCCGGGAAGATCCCACATGCCGCGGAGCGGCTGGGCCCATGAGCCATGGCCGCTGAGCCTGCGCGTCCGGAGCCTGTGCTCCGCAACGGGAGAGGCCACAACAGTGAGAGGCCCGCATACCGCAAAAAAAAAAAAAAAAAAAAAAAGTCCTCATATATATTTAAATCATTTTTAGTTTATATTTATTTCAGTAAGGAACTTACACACAGTTATAAAGTCCTCACAAAAACCAAAGGAATGCCAAAGTATAACAAGAAAATACTAACTAGTGATAAACCTTATCTACAATATACTTTCAGTTTATACTTCCATTGATCTTTCCAGCAACAAACTTTAGAGCTGAGCTAGCCAATTCAGTAGCCATCAGCTATGTGGCTATTTAGATTTAAGTTAATAAAAATTAAATTAAATTTAAAATTTCTTGGTCACACTGGCCGTATTTCAAGTGCTCCACAGCCATCAGAGTTTTTATTGGATGATGCGGCTTTAGAGAGATCACATGGATATGCCTGTCAAATAATATTTTGTGTGCAGAAGAGAAGTGGCTCTAGAGCATGATCAGATGTATTATTCAGAAAATTTATCAAGTGCCTGCCATGTGTCAGACACTGGGAATACAGCAGATGATAAAGTCACTGCATTCACAGAGCTCTAGTAGGGGAGACAAAAACAAGTAAAAATATACTATAATTTCTATGTAATGAGTACTGTGAAGAAAAAGCAAGTAAAGAGCTACAGAGTGGTGAAATGAGATCAAGTAAGGCTTCCTTGTTAGAAGTGATGTGTATAACTCAAAGGACTAGACTGCTGTTTAAGATTATACAAGGTGTGGGAGAGCTCCTTTGCAGCCAGCTAAGCCATTTAAGCAGTAGATATGCAGACTCTGGATTTACATGACACATGGAGTAAAACCTCTTCACAGCTACAACACCAGTGTTCAAAAAATACTTAGTTCATTAAGAAGATGAAATGGATCTGTGGCTGGTCTATGCTTAAAAATCTATTATAAAAATGTTCAAATTAAATATAAATGAAGGGAGACAAGTTATCTACCATGCAGTACATAATGAAGTAGGAAAAAAATCAAACTGGAAACTGTCTTTTGAATTCATTCATGAATGTATAAAATAAGGTTAAAAAACACACGTGATCACTCTTAGATAACACATTACTTATACCCTTTAAGGGACTTCCTTGGTGGCGCAGTGGTTAAGAATCTGCCTGCCAACGCAGGGGACATGGGTTCGAGCCCTGGTCCGGGAAGATTCCACATGTTGCGGAGCAACTAAGCCTGTGCGCCATAACTACTGAGCCTGTGCTCTACAACCCGCGTGCTGCAACTACTGAAGCCCATCCGCCTAGAGCCCATGCTCCACAATCAGAGACGCCACCGCAATGAGAAGCCTGCACACCGCAACAAAGAGGAGCCCCCGTTGGCCACAACTAGAGAAAGCCCGCGCACAGCAATGAAGACCCAACTCAGCCAAAAATAAAGAAATAAATATACCCTGTGAGTTATGGTATTAATTGTCCTATCCTATTTTTTAAAAAGGTATGTATGAACTTTTAGGCATAAAATCACAGGCAATATTTGCTTGGATAAACAAGCATTAAGTGGACTATTATATATAGTTGATTTACTTTCTAACCTAAACTTTGGCCTGAACGTTCTACTTACTGGAAGAATAAACAGACCAGTCCTGAAAATACATGTTTTCTTATAGAGTGATTTTCAATTTGACCAAATTGTCAAAACTGAAAGAGTCCCAAACACAGATCATTTACCTCTATATATGTACTAAACTTCTAAATAAACACCACAATGATAGATGAAACTATTTTTTTTCTTATAGGTGTTCCTCATTTTCAGTCCTCTCTAGAACTGACCTCATATTCTTTCTGTGTCTATTACATCTATATCAACTGTGATCTAACTCAAGATTGAAACAGAACGAACAGTACATACTTTCAATTGCCAAGTAAATTTTCCGCTCTCCTTCCTTGGGTTCTTTGCCAGGTGGGAAGTATGTTCCTCTGATTGTAATTGCAGCTTCAGAATATTCACTGATTCTCTGCAGAGCTTCCTTAGAGGTAACTTTCCACCTAGCAGTCTATGAAATAAAGAGTGGGGGGACAATTATACTCCAATAAAGATGTTAAAAAAATAAAATAAAAAAGAGTGGGGGGAAAAAATCACTTTACAACAGAATAAAGAAACCTGATGTACTGACAAAGAATAGGTTAACTAAATCATATTATGGTCAATATTAAGATTATAATTAATACCTGCATCATAAATTCATTTAGATTCTAATGTAACTAGAACATAATCATAAATATGGAATTTCTAGTGTTGTCTCCCCATCTAGATAAAAAGTAAAGCAGCCATTTAAATGTTCATGGGTTTTAAACAAGGCATTTTCGCTCCTAAAAAAGGAGTTTCTACTCTACAATTAAAAAAAAAAAGTTTAAATCTGTTACTTGCCTGTGGGAAGTCATTGATCTCTAATTCTTCTTCATATCTCTTAAAAGATTCATTCTGTCCACCATCCTGTCTCTCCTCTTCTTGTTTCTCCAAAGGCACATAATTAAGCTTGGCATTGATCTTTTCAGCAAGTTGCTCTGCAATGGTTTTTGCAGAGACAGTGGGAGCCAGGATGGTGCCACCTCTAAGAATTGCATTGGTGGCCTGCTGCATCACATCCTGCAGTTAAAGAAGACCTACAGTCAAATCTCAAATGAGGGCAGAGACAAGACCAAAGATTCCACCACAAAGTATTCTCTGGAAAGCCACTAACTAAAAGCATCTTTCTAATGTAAAGTGCTACCCGTAAGTGCAATTTAACAGCATATATTTATAACAGACAGTTTAATATATCTCCCTTACTTGATGAGAAAACAATAATATTCAATTCTACATTAAAAATTCTACTGAATCATACATAATTAGGTAACTCTTGATATCAAATACAGTATATTTCTAAAATCATTTACATACTATGTGGCTACTAGGAGTTTTCCTCTGAATCAGAATCTTTGCCCACTACCACCACCGAGCTCTTCCTTCCCCCATGGACCAATCCAACATTCTATAAATTACAGTAAATGACTTTACTCAACACATTTTTTTAAATTTGAACTTAATTTTACTATGTGCCTAATGCAGAGATAATTCTTCTGTGGGTAATACACGACTCACACCACAAGCTCTTCTAACAACAGCAAAAAGTTAGAGCCATTTGCTTTCAAAATAAAGAGTTATTAGTAGCAATAATCTAAGAGAATATTAGGTGAGGTGCTGTGTCCCTGTTGTCAGAAGAGGCACAGGCTTGAGTACAGTAAACACTTTATAGTAACTCACTGGCTAAATAAAACAGATGCAGAGACCCAAGCCTCTGAGCCTTGATTGTGGCTGCCTCACTGGGTCAGCCCACTGGCCTCTAGCTTGGTCATCCCACTTGGACACTAGAGACCTGAACCTATACAGGCTACTGGACACAGGGCCCTGCAGGTCCCCAAACTCTCAAAATCTTAAAAATACTGTCAAAATTAACAAATTGTTCTTTAGGAATGCTATGAAAATTTAACCTTAGTTAAAAATTAAGTTAACCAAAATGCTGGAGAGGGTGTGAAGAAAAGAGAACCCTCCTACACCGTTGGTGGGAATGTAAACTCGTGCAGCAACTATGGAGAACAGTATGGAGGTTCATCAAAAAACTAAAAGTAGAGTTGCCATATGATCCAGCAATCCCACTCCTGGGCATATATCTGGACAAAACTATAATTCAAAAAGATACATGCACCCTTATGTTCATAGCAGTGCTATTTACAATAGCCAAGACATGGAAACAACCTAAATGTCCATGAATGGATAAAGAAGATGTGGTATGTGTATACAAACACACACACACACACACACACACACACACACACACACGTACATATATACATACACACAATGGAATACTACTCAGCCATAAAAAAGAATGAAATAATGCCATTTGCAGCAACATGATGAACCTAGAGATTATCATACTAAGCAAAGTAAGTCAGGAAGAGAAAGACAAATACCATATGATATTACTTATATGTGGAATCTAAAATATGACACAAATGAACCTATCTACAAAACAGAAACAGACTCAGACATAGAGAACAGACTTGTTTGTGGTTGCCAAGGGGGAGGGGGCTGGGGGAAGGATGGATTGGGAGTTTGGGATTAGCAGATGCAAACTATTACATAGAGAATGGGTAAAGAAGGTCCTATTGTATAGCAGAGGGAACTATATTCAATATCCTGTAATAAACCATAATGGAAAAGAGTAAGAATATATATATATATATGTACAACTGAATCACTTTGCTGTACAGCAAAAACTATCACAACACTATAAATCAACTATACTTCAAAAAAAAATTAAGTTAACCAAAAAACTCCCAAGAGAAACAAGGCAAGTGAAATATTTAACACATTTTCCCACTGTCTAAACCCATGTTAGTTTCAGTTATGTAACTGGATATTCATACTTCCAAGGTATTGTTTGTGTGCCCAATAACCCACCTAATATAAACAGAAAAGAAAGAAAAGAGAGTTATTTCTTTAGGATTTTGTTAAGATCAATCAGAATACTACTTTATAAAATTATCCATGGTTAACATGCTTAACAGTTAGGCCTTCCAGACTAGGCATTAAGACCGCAGTTAACCACACTAGAGAAATCACCCAAACATAATAATTAAAGAATTCTGTATTGAGGATAATGTTAAATGCTTACTACCTCAGTGTCTAAAATAACTTCTTGTTCACTTGTGCTGCCATAATTCCTGAAAAGCATTTAAATCAAAGAACTTACAAAAAGTACTAAGACTTGGAACAAATTACTTAATACCTGAGACTCAATCCCCAAATTCTTCTGAGCATTGATTCTAAGAGCCAATCTCTTTGCAATTTCTAACTTCTCAGCATTTCCTGCAGTTGGAGCAGGAACACTAGATGTTCCAGGAGCAGCCATATCCTTCACTCTCTTCTTTGAATTAAACATGCTTTCAATTTGCTCATCAATCTAAACAAGAAGAAAAAGGATTAGTAAAAATCTAATTAAAAATACCAATTTATAGAGGGAGAAGAGGAGGAGAAGGGGAAAGGAAAGGGAGGAGAGGGGAGAGAGGGAGGGAGGGAGGGAGGAAGGAAGGAAAGAAAGAAACAGAGATACAAGGCTGCAAGAACCACTTCAGCAGACTCCTGAGTGGTACAGATACATCCCAATTCAGTAAATGAAGAACATGTGCTGTCAAGACAGAGCAGACAATTTGATGCAGCTGCTTGCTCCAGGGCCAAGGCCTTAAGGCCAAATTACGTACACTGCAATGAAAGAGGCTGGACGAAGGGCAATAACTCAAGACCAGTGGACATCTAAAAATACAGTCAGTGGTTCCCAGGGCAAATGCTGCAACAGGGTTCCTAAAATTCTTCCCAACTTCAAAAATGCAATTGGATTTATCTAAAAAACTGGGTAAGAGAATCAGGAAAAAAAGCCTTTATTGTTTTTTTCCTTCAAGGAAGGAAAGAAATGAAGGTTGGTTTCCCCATCAAAGCAAGAGCAATGCTGAAAATTAGGCTAATATTTTAAATCTCAAATGAAGAGCAAGCTTTTTTCAGGGTTTAAAATTACTTAGGTTAATTTAGAAAGACCTTTTACTGAAATGGAAACAGACAACTTATCTTCTTTTTAAAATATTTGTTATCTAATAAGGGGTTTGAGTTACCAACTACCTTTAAACTAACATTTAAATAACCCTTTTAAATTAAACAGCATACATGGCGTTAAAATCCAAAACAAATGCATAAATCAGGAATGGGGAAGGTATATGGAGGTAGGTGACAGGGGTAACTTTACTTTTAACTTTATTCACTTTAGTATTGCTCTATTTTTTTTACAAAACTTACATAATATTTTAACAAGAAGGAAAAAATCAACATATTTCATTATGAGATTTTTAAAAAATGTTTAAGTAACATAAAAAAACTGAGGTGGTTTTAAAAACAATGCCACATATTCTTTAATACTCTTCCCTCTAAGAGGTGGAGCCTCTCCTTAAATGTGGGCTGGACTTAGTGATTTGATTCTAACAGACAAAAAAAAAGTGGAAAAGCCAGTATGTAACTTCAGAGACTAGTCATAAAAGGTACTAAGGTTTCCTCTTTGCTCTCTCTTGGATCACTCATTCTGGGGGAGCCAGCTGCCATGCTGTAAGGACACAAATGCAGAGTGAAGAACAGAGGCATCCTACCAACATTAAAGTGACTGAGCCATCTTGGAAGAAGATGGTCCTGCATCAGTGAAGCCTTCAGATAACTGCAACCTGGGACAACAGCTTGACTGCAACCTCATGAGACCCTAAGTAAGAACTACTTGGCTAAACTGCTCCTGATTTCCTAACCCTCAGGAATCATGAGATAATAAATGTTTACTGTTTTAACCTACTAAGTTTTGGATTGATTTGTTACATGGTAACAAATAACTAAAATATTGACTTAATTGAATTTTAAGCCAGTATGGTATGCTAGTAAGAAATGGCCTAGAGTTAATAGGAGACCTTGGTCTGGTCCTGGCTGTGCTTAACAGCCAGTGTGGTCATTTCCTGAAATGACAAGATCAGACTGAATTCCTGATTTCCTAAATTGTGTTCTGAGCTAAGGTTTAACAGGGTATGTTTCAAAAACAACAAAAAAAAAGTTCTATGATCAAATATCAAATATGTTGGAAGATTTCTGTGTCAAATAAAGTTAAATAAGATTATCTTATTAATGACTTTTCACATCCTTTGATAGGATACCACTAATAGTGGTATATACTAGGCAGATTTTCCAAAATTATTTTATAATGAAAACATCTAAAGCTCAAGATCCTGGGATTAGGGCTCCAAAGAATACTCTGGGAAACCCTTAACTTGCTGAGTCCTCAGGGTCCCTTTTCACTGGGTTACAAATAATTCCGTAAGCTAAGAACATGGGCTTTGAAGTAAGAACAGGATGGGTATAGATCCCAGCTCCTCCCCTTAACAGCTATGCAAATCTGAAAAGGTTATTTCTTTCTAAGCCTCAGTCTCCTCAATTATAAAATGGGAATACTCTGAGTATCCACTCATCTAGCTATTGTGAGGAAGTAAATGAAATAATCCCTGTAAAGCACTTTGCACAGGACATGGCACTTAGTAGAACTCAATAAATGTTGACTATTATTATTACTAAGGATGTTGTATAACAATTAAATTGTAAAAGATTAAAAAACAATATTAGTACCAATGATGTTAAAGATACAGGGAGCCAGGCACTCTTATATAACACTATTGTGAGTGCAAACTGGTACTCACCTTGCAGGAGAACAATCTGACAACGTTTTAAGACCAAATTAGATATACCCTTTGGCCTAGCAATTCCATTTATACATTCATCCTCAAGACTTAATGCGACGAATATGCAAGGTTTAATGTTCAAGAATGAGCGATGAAGTACAGTAAAGTATATTCCAAATAAAAAATATATGGAAACAAACATGTTTGTTTCCATATATTCAAAAATAGGGATTTGATTCATTAAACAGTGGAACATCCATATAATGAAATATGTAACCAATGAATAGCATAAGAGTGAATTTACTAAAAGAGAAGACTTCAACATAGGACTATTGTAAAGATTATAAAGCAGTATGATCTCATTTTTATGAAAATACAGAAATACAGGCATATGTGAATACGTCTGTATACATAGAAAAAAACGGAGAAGGGTACACAACGAAAAGTTTCCAATAACTTGCTAACTAAACAAGCCTATGGTAAAACCTCCAGTACCAAAGGAATAATTGTTTCAACTGGTAAGAATAAGGCTTAGAACAACAATACTTACATCAACTGCAGCATCCTCATCATCCGAATCTTGAAGACCAAGAGCAGCTTTTTGTAACTTCTTTCTCTCATTTGCCAAAGCTTGTTCTGTTTCATCAAACTTGAATCCCTTACCAGAGAACCCACTACTCTTTTTAATTATTTTCCCTTCCTTTCAAGGAAAAACAAGAAAGTTAATTTCATAATAAAAAACTTTAATATTCAGGAATTTATGGCAATTAAATATTTTTCAAGGCGGTGTATGACAATGTAACAAAAACATTTCATCTAGCATGTGAGAAAAAGGAACTCTATGTAGACTACAAAAAGTACTAAGTTGAAGCAAAAGGGAGCATTTTGTTTTCACTCCTTTCCCTTCCTCACTAAAGAGATAAGTGAAAATAACCCTATCAAGATTTACAGGTATTAAATATTCAAGATCTAGAACACAATGACTTGCATAAAAATGAGACTTAAAAAACTCACAGCTTTCTGTTGATCTTTGAAATCACTCCAAAGTTTCTCTAGATCAGGTGGCACTGCAGTCCCTGACAATTCAAGGGCTTTAATTATGTCACCAGCATACCGAGCCTGATCTTCTGTGATGAAAGTATAGGCGAAGCCCTAGTGAATGATGAAAAAGTGATACTATTACACACTAACAAGATGAATCCTCCTTAGATCACAAATAAGATAAAATCTGAGTCACCTAATATACCCTCTTTAAGATGACTCCATTACTAAAGAATTTCAAAGACCACAAAAGAGTCCTACACCAAATTCTTTAATGGTTCAAAGTGAAATACCTAAGTTTAATATTTAAAAATAAGCAAAACCAGAAAATTTCTAATCTCTTTATGCATAAAGGGAAATACATGTGATTTTTACATAAATGTACAACTCCACTGTCATAAGTATTAACTTTAATATATCTTATTTCTCCCTTTTTGCTTGCATTCCCTTCCTCCACTACCTACCGCACCTCTCTACCCCAGCTAACCTGTATTAACGTCCTAGAATACAGCTTCCCATATTTTTTAAAGACCAATTAAAAGATATAAAAACATACACACATGTATATCTGATATGTTTTAACATATACAAAAATGAAGTCAGCTACATCACTTCCCTGGGATTCTCTAAAGCCTAAGGATGCAGGTGTCCCCAGCAGCTTTTTGGTTCAGGCAAGAGAAAGACTGGAGTTGTAAGTAGAGGAATAGCAAACTACAATTAGATTGCCATCTTCACAAAACGTTCTACCCTACCAGTGAACTGTTATAAATTTTAAAACATGATTTAATATTTTATTTCAGGAGTACCTAGTTACCAGATTTGACCCATGGCCTACTTTTATACGACCCATGAACTAAAAGTGGTATTACATTTTTTAGGGTTGTGTACACACGTACACACACACACACACACACACACACACACACACGATGTGACAGAGACTGCATGTGGCCCAAAAAGGCTACAATTTTAACTACCTGGCCCTTTACACAAAAAGTTTCCCAAATCCACAGAATAACTCAGGTTAAAAGAATAAATGCCATCACTACTTACTAGCTATGTAAATTTGTCAAGTAACAATGTCAGTGTGCCTCAACTTTTCTCATCTGTTAAAAGGGGTAATATTATCTACCTCAAAGGGAATTTGTGAGAATAAAATGAGATGATATATGTAAAGCACTCAGAACAGTGGTGGGCATTTAATAAATACTCCATAAATATAACCTATTAATATTATTATTGCTTCAGTATGTAGAAATGTCCATGGTTGTAATATCAAATATATCACCATCAGTGCTTCCATCAGTGCTGCCTTCAAAAAGAAAGAGTTAGAACTATATACTTAACAGAATACAAACAAGTCAAAAAAGCAAATAATATTCATGTGTATAGGGGGGTGAGAACAGGGGTGATAGGTGTGGGCTGAGTGTATTTCATGATCCCTTATTTTAAAAAAAGCAATGAAAGATCTTGAACTATATGCATGTATGTATATACAGAAATTTTTAGGTGGGGAAAAATACCTTTTGGGGACACAAATGGTTAACACTATCTGCCTACAGAGAACAGCACTTAAGACATATATATGTATATAAATGATGAACATCAACTATTCCCCATACTCTGATGATGAAGGATTTTCAGAATGTCCCCATAACTCCTATTATCTCTTTATAATCATAAAGAAACACTTGTATTTTAACATAATAGAAATCAACTTTAAAAGCAATTATTTTTACTTTGTTGCCTGCTCTTCCAGTCCGTCCTGCTCTGTGCACATAATCCTCATAATGGTTGGGGCAGCTATAATTTACTACAAGAATCAGATGTTTCACATCTAGGCCTCGGGCAGCAACAGACGTAGCAACAAGAAGTTTGCAGGTCCCATTCTTAAAATCATTTATGATGCTATCTCTGTCATATTGATCAATGCCTGCAAGTAAATTAAAGAGTTGTAAAACCACATATTTAAGTTAAATTTTCCATTTCCTCTGACATTCAGACAAAGAAGTTAAACACGGGGTAAAGAACAAATCCAACTTATATTGACCACATGTCCAACAACTACCATATAGAAAGTAAAAGACTTGGCGGGGGGCTGGTGAGGAGTGATAAATTAGGAGTTTGGGATTAAAATATACACACTACTATATATAAAATAGATAATCAACAAGGATCTACAGTATAGCATAGGAAACTATACTCAACATCTTATAATAACCTATAATTGAAAAGAATCTAAAGGAGAATAGATATAATGTATAACTGAATCATTTTGCTGTGCACCTGAAACTCAACACTGTAAATCAACTACATTTCAATAAAAAATTTAAAAAAAAAAAGACTACGGAAATTTAATGGCAAGATGAAAAGTTATTGCTATTTACGAATTCCAAATCTGCCCTGTTTTGCCCCCCTTCTTACATATAAGGCTTATCACTCCAGAAGCCCAACCTCAGAATCACTAACCTATATCTCTTATGGGGGCAAATGGGAAAAAGGCAGGTACATTCAGCCTATATTGACAGGATTCAGATCTTTCTAATTCTCTCATAGGTTATTTAGAGCCTTGCTCCTCACAGTTTTGTCCCAGGGACCGGGAGCAGCATCACATGAGAGCTTGTTAGAAATGGAGAATCTCAGATCCTACCCCCAAACTACTGAGTCAGATTCTGCATTTTAACAAGATCCACATGTGATTACATATGCACATTAAAGTTTATGGTGCACTGCTTAAAAAGTACCCAACTGGATCTCTCTTTAAAATTTGTTACTCAAAGAGCCTCAGGATGAGTGACAAAGCAGAGCATAAAATACCAAAATGTTCTTTTACAAAATGTCCAGGCCACAAATATACTTTATGATGGGGTACCTGGGAATCTCTAGTAATCAGTGAAGGGAATGGGATAAATTCTCAAACCTTGAAATTCATTTTTGCAGCAAGAGATATTCTAACATTCCATATAAAACCTGTGTTTAACATATACAGAACATTTAGCATCTAAATATTTATCAATATTAATTTATATTACCTAAAGTTTTAAATGTACTCTTCAAAGACTTAATTATGGAAAATATTTGGATCTTATCTCAAAGAAACTAGGATCCAACATTGTACCCAAAAACCTCATAAGAAAAATTAGTGGAATCAGTAACAATACACATTACGTTTATAATTTTAAAATACCACAACTTTTAGTGTAGACTGAGGTATCCTGACACATACGTGCAGTAGAGTTAGTAGTTAATGGCAGCAACCATTAACCCTCTTCCTTTTTAACATAACCTCAATTTTGTTATCCACCCAACACATGGTCACATATATTAAACCAGAGATGAGCCTAATTCTCAGTCTTAGGAGGTGAGTAATGATTAGTGTAAACTAGCCCTTCTCAAACTTTCTGTGCTCAGGTTGTCTGTGCACTCTTAAAATTAATAAGAACCAGACCCAGAGAGCTTTAGTTTATCTAGGTCATCTCTATCAATATTTAATGTATTAGAAACTAGAACTGAGGAAAATTTTAAATATTTATTAACTTATTTAAAAATAATAAAACAATTACATGCTAAAAAATGTATTTTTGTGAAAAGTAACTTTTCCAAAACAATAAAAATAAGGCGCTTCACATTTTTGCAAATCTCTTTGATGTCTGGCTTAATAGAAGATAGTTGGAGTCTCATATCTTCTGCATTCAATCTGTTGCAATTTAACACGCTGTGCAACCTCTAGAAAGCTATACTACGTATACACTGATGAAAGAATGAAAGTGAAAAAGGCAAATAACTTGGTGGGGTTATTATGGAAATATTTTTGACTTCATGAAACCCCTGAAAATCTCAGAAACCTCAGGGGTGCAAGGATAATACATTAAGAACTATTTGTCATTCCCTTGTCTTTGAATGAATTAGGCATAAACATGTGAAACAATTCTGACCAAAAATATAAAAGAAGTACAGACAGGGGATTATGGGGTAAAATTTCCTTATATATATTAAAAAATACACATTTACATCAAGGTAGGGGAAAATCTTATAGACTAACCCTCCTGTGGGTAACAACTATGAATGCTGGACAAAATATAAAGAACTAACTACCTGAAGGCACCAGAGAGTGACTAAAAGAAGGCAGAAACTGGAAGGGAGTTGACACCTGGAAGAATGCAATGGCACTGGTTGAGTTTACAGGATTTTACTTCTTTATTTTAAACTTTCTGTTTGGGAGCGGGCCCTGAGCAGCCCAGGTAGGGAAGTCAAAACATGAATAGAAACAGTCTTACTGACAAGAAGAAACAAGAAGAAAGCATTCAGGATAAACTCAGGACCAGAAAAGAGGGGATAAATCCCAGAAAGAACAACAGAGCAGGCACATCCAACAGTGCATAAAAACACTATCCAAGGACTTCCCTGGTGGCGCAGTGGTTAAGAATCTGCCTGCCAATGTAGGGGACGTGGGTTCGAGCCTGGGTCCGGGAAGATCCCACATGCCGTGGAGCAACTAAGCCCATGCACCACAACTACTGAAGCCCATGAACCCTAGGGCCCACGCACCACAACTACTGAGCCCACATGCCACAAGTACTGAAGCTCACGCGTCTAGAGCCCATGCTCCGCAACGAAAGAAGCCACCACACCGCAACAAAGCCCCCGCTCACTGCAACTAGAGAAAGCCCGGGTGCAGAAAGGAGGAAGGGAGGGAGGGAGGAAGGAATAAAATTAAAAACAAAAAACAAAAAAAACGCTGCCCAAATATCTGACACCTAAACTACACATGGGGCAGAATCCAAGTAGCCCAGCTCTGGCTGAAAGAAATTATTAGATATTTCAGAGGTTGCCCAACAAGAAAGACAGTTTCAAATATGGATTCAGCCAAGTTAATACCCTATTTAAAAAAAAAAAAAAAAAAACCTTCAATAAAACATAAGAGAATTCAGACTCTACAAGGTATCATTCACAAAGGCCAGTATACAAACCAAAATTACTAGACATACAAAGAAACAGAAAACTATAAAACAAAATCAAAAGAAAAGATAATAGAAACTGACTTCAGATGACCAAGACATTATAATTAACAGTCAAAGATTTTAAAGCAACTATTATAATTGTGATCAAGGAAAAAAACTTTTAAATGCTTATAATGAATGGCTAGGAAACTGAATTAGAGAATCAGTAAAATATAAAAGAGAGCCCACAGGAAATTCTAGAACTAAAAAAAAAATTGAATTAAAAAATTCACTGAATGGGCTTATTATTAGCAGATAAGAGATGGCCAAAAACACACAGTGAACTTAAGACAGAGTCAAAGAAATTATTCAGTCTTAGAAAGAAAAAAGATTGTAAAACAAAGACTGAACATAGCATCAGTGATACGTGAGACAGAATCAAAAGGCTGAACATACACACAATTGGAGTCCCAAAAAGAGAGGAGAGAATAGGCCAGTAAAACAATCAATCAATCAATCAATCAAGAAATAACAGTCAAAGGACTTCCCTGGTGGCAGAGTGGATAAGACTCCACACTCCCAGTGCAGGGGGCCCAGGTTCAATCCCTGGTAAGGGAACTAGATCTCACATGCATGCCGCAACTAACAGTTTGCATGCAACAACTAAGGAGCCTGCCTCCCGCAACTAAGACCCAGTGCAACCAAATTAATTAATTAATTATTTTTAAAAAAGAAATAACAGTCAAGAATTTCCCAAATTAGATGCAAGACATAAATTTACAGATTCTAGAAGGCGGTAAACCCGAAGGAGAATACAAAGAAAATCATATCTAAATCAACTTACCATATGACCCAGCTATCCCATTCCTGGTTATCTACCCTTGAGAAATGAAATGTTCACACAAAAATCTGGACTTACATATTTAATAGCAGCTCTATTCATAATTGTCTAAAACTGGAAACAACCCAAATGTCCTTCAACAGATAAATACACCAACAGTAGTACATCCACACAAAACATACTATTAGATAATAAAAAGAAATGAACAATGCAACAACTTGAATGAATCTCAAAGCCATCATGCTGAGTGAAAAAAAAGCCAACTGCAAAAAGCTGTATAATGTATGACTGCATTTATAAACATTCTTATAAGAGCACATCAGTGGTTTCCAGGGGCTATGTACAAGAGGAAAGAGAACCTTAGAGTTACTCTGCATAGGGATAGGACAAGGGAGTCTTGTGGGGTGAGGGAACTATTCTGTATCCTGATTATGGTGAATCCTTTGGGATGGTTAAAACAGCCAAAAAGCTGGAAGTAGCCCAGGTGACCAACAGAAATGACTAAAAAAACTATGATATACTTATACACTGGAGTATTACTCAGCAATAAAAGGGAAGAGCTGTTACATCCAACATGGATGAAAATTCAAAAATACATGCAGAGTCAAAGATACTTGACATAAAACCGTCCATAATGTATGGTTCCATTTATCTGGAATTCTAAAACAGGTAAAGTTGGGAAAAAAATGTAAAAAGTGGTGGCAGGGACTGAGGGAAATTTCTGAGGTTATATCTTAACAGAGGTTTGGGTTTCACAACTTACATTTGTCAAAACTCATCAAATGGCACACTCAGGATCTGTGCATTTCACTATAGTTTACTTACAGATGTTTTATTTAAAAAAATTTTGAACTAGTGTTAATCATGTGCACACTGAAGTGAAATGTGCTGGTGCTGCAACGTATTCTGAAATGTATCAAAAAACTAAGAAAGGGCTTCCCTGGTGGCGCAGTGGTTAAGAATCCCCCTGCCAATGCAGGGGACACGGTTTCCAGCCCTGGTCTGGGAAGATCCCACATGCCACGGAGCAACTAAGCCCGTGCACCACAACTACTGAGCCTGCGCTCTAGAGCCTGCAAGCCACAACTACTGAAGGCTGCGCGCCAAGAGCCTGTGCTCCACAACAAGAGAAGCCACCGCAATGAGAAGCCCGCGCACCACAACAAAGAGTAGCCCCCGCTCGCTGCAACTAGAGAAAGCCCACACACAGCAACGAAGACCCAACACAGCCAAAAATTATAAATAAATAAAAAGAAATTTATTTTTTAAAAAAACTAAGAAAAATTGAGGAGTGGGTGAAAGGACAGATGGCTAAAGATGTGACATAAATATAACAAAATGCTAATTGTAGACTCTAGTATTAGATATTCAAGGGTGTTAATGATATAGTTTTCTCACATTTTCTGTGTTTGAAATTTTGGTAGTAAAAATGAGGGGGAAAAAAAGCCATAGATATATGGAAAATAGTCTTCCTCCTCTAGAAGCTGTCAAATCTGGAAGTGATGACTGAGCCTGCAAAAGGCCTTTTGCTGCCATAAAGAAAGCTTAGATTAATAACTAAGTTATTATGCTCAAGATGGCAGTATAGAAACTACAATATGGTAACACTGAGCTACTGCAGAGTGAAGCAATTCTGGAATCATTTTCTGTTTTTTTCTTCTTTGGCCACACCTTGCAGCATGTGGCCTCTTAGTTCCCCAACCAGGGATAGAACCCAGGCCCCCTGCAGTGGAAGCGCAGAGTTTTAACCACTGGACCGCCAGGGAAGTCCCCTGGAATCATTCTGCCATGGGATTTCATGTTTTATAAAATAATAAATATTCCTCATGATTTATGGCAGCTGAGTTCATATTTTCTGTTACTTGCAGAGAACCAAAAGGAAAAGTAACTGATATTAATAGTACACATCAGGGCTTCCCTGGTGGCACAGGGGTTGAGAGTCCGCCTGCCAATGCAGGGGACACGGGTTCGTGCCCCGGTCCAGGAAGATCCCACATGCCGCGGAGCGGCTGGGCCCGTGAGCCATGGCCGCTGGGCCTGCGCGTCCGAAGCCTGTGCTCCGCAACAGGAGAGGCCACAACAGTGAGAGGCCCACGTACCGCAAAATAAATAAATAAAATTAGGCAAGAGAGTAACATTATTTTAAAAAAAAAAATAGTACATGTCAAAAGTCTCATTGAAGCATTTTGCCCTATTTTAAAATGTCTCTGTTTTCATATATCATAAACACCTGAAAGTAGAAACCATTGTGCTACTTTCCTAATTTCAGCAATATTTACAATATTAAATGCAGGTTGCATCTTTAAGGAATTTTAAAATTATTCATTATTAGTGCAAAAATGAAGAAATGGATGACTGACAGAATAGAAATTATAGCCATGGTTTAATGACAGTATTTTCAGATTTCTTCTTTCATTTTTTAACCCAGTTTAGAGGAAAGTTTAGAGGAATGCAGGTATGTGATAAATAAAAAATAGAGTATTAAGAACAATATGCTCTCCACATATTTTGTTCATAAACTACAATTACCCGGCCTTTGTGCTCTAACAAAAAAAGTCAAGCAACCATGGAATGCTCTGATTGTTGAACTGAGAAAATTGTCTCAGGTTAAGAAAACCAGGAGTGGGCAGAACACATCATCCACTCTCCAACCTCCTGCCTCCCTTTATCCCTTCACTAGACCTGAAGACTGGAGAACTACAGATGGCTCTGAAGAAGTGGCAGCACTCAGAGTGTCTCTGAGCTTCCTTCTCACTATTCCGAAGAGTAAGCAGGAATAAACAGCTATTATTCAATTAAGCGACAGGTTCTGCAAATCAGCCTGACTGCCCCTTTATGGAGATCAATCTTAGAAGAACAGAAATACCACAATCTCCATCTTACAAATGAACAAGTCCAGGATTTTCTGTCATTTGGTCACAATCCAGAGTCAGCAGCATCTTGCAGTTGCAATAATCCTAGCAGGAAGAATGGACTAAATGTTTTGTAGTTTGTATTCTTTTTTCTTCTAAAGGGGCACACAATTGTATGCATTTCAGACATACTAACACCCACACTTCTCACAACTAATGCCATTATACTATGTATTATGCATGAAATGCACATTAATTACATGTGCACATTAGGAATTTCATGGTTACACCTTTAAAAAAAAAATTCTTCAAAAGCCCTACATAGGGCTTCCCTGGTGGCGCAGTGGTTGAGAGTCCGCCTGCCGATGCAGGGGACACGGGTTCATGCCCCGGTCGGGGAAGATTCCACATGCCACGGAAAAGCTAGGCCTGTGAGCCATGGCTGCTGAGCCTGCGCGTCCAGAGCCTGTGCTCTGCAACGGGAGAGGCCACAACGGTGAGAGGCCCGCGTACCGCAAAAAAAAAAAAAAAAAGCCCTACATAATTTCATGCTGCGGAGCAACTAAGTGCACCACAACTACTGAGCCTGCGCTCTAGAGCCCGCGAGCCACAACTGCTGAGTCCACGTGCCACAACTACTGAAGCCCGGGTGCGTAGAGCCCGTACTCCGCAACAAGAGAAGCCACTGCAATGAGAAGCCCGTGCACCACAACGAAGCGTACGTAGCCCCCACTCGCCGCAACTGGAGAAAGCCTGCACTAGGCAACGAAGACCCAACACAGCCAAAAATAAATAAATGTATTTATTTTTCAAAACACGTAACTCACAACTTTAAAAATAAATAAAGAAAAGGAAAACACAACGAGTCATTTTCAAATATTAAAAGTTAACCAAATACATATCCTCAAAGCCCTTTTAATTGCATTCCACATGAAGCCTTATGTGGTAGATTGTATTTTCCAAAGACGGCAGCAAAAGCATGTCCTATCCCACATACTCTTCTGCATATCGAATGACATTTTCCCATAAGGCAGTGGAGTCTATGACTCCATTCCCTTGAACGTGGGCCAGTCTAGTGACTATTCTGACCTATAGAATATGGTGGAAATAAAATTTCTACCACTTCCCAGTATCCTCCTTAACTGTCTTGGCAGCTTCTGGTTCTTGCCTTCTGGCCAAGCAGCCTCACAGAGAGGCTCACAAGGGAAAGAGTCAGGACTCCTGGCCAACAGCCTGACTGAGCTCTCAGTCAAGAGCCAATACCAACTTGTCAGCTGCCTAAGTAAGGCAAATTGGAAATGGATCCCCAACCCCAGCTGAGCCATCCGAGTAGACAGAGCATGAAAGAGAGACTAGTTATGTGCTAAGAACTACACAAATTGCAGATTCATTAAAAAAGAAAAAAAAAAAGACTGTTGCCACTAAATTTGGGGGTGGTTTGTCACAAAGCCATATTGCCAGAACACTTGGTTAGTGAGTTTAATTCAAACTGTCTCTGTTCCATATGTTTAGTGTTCTAAGTCCCACATATATATAACAATGGCGATATTACACAGAAATTAATTAAAGCTCTAATGTGAATCATAATAAAAACCTCTAGGTAGCATGGTACAATGGAAAGAATAGAACATAAATCAAAAATTTTAAGTGCATAGAAACCAAGCCTATCGATCTGCGCCTGCGTGACCAGCTGAGTTGGCCTCTGGAGACTGCAGATAAGCCGACCTTGCCTAGACAACCGAGTGAGAGGTACCCCGGTGATTAGTGATTTCCTGCTGCCTCCTCACACAGTACCTGGGATTCTCATGACAGCAGTGATTGGTGAGGGGCTTGACCAAGGGAGCCCCCTTATCTCCCTCCAGTAGCAGTTAAGCTCATGGAGTGTGGACCCACCCAGGTTGGGTTCCAGTTCTGGCTCCACCATTTTCTGTGTCATCCTGGCAAAGTTTCTTAACCTCACTATGCCTCAGTTCCATCTTAAAATAAAAATATCTTAAAAGACAATAATGGTACATACAGCGTAGGGTTGCTTTGGGGATTAAATGAGTTATACTAAAGCACTGAGGCATTTCCTGGCACGTGGAAAGCTCTCTAAGGCAATTGCAGTTCTTTGATGTCTCAGTCTGCTTTTAGTTTGCGGATTTGGGAAAGTCATCAGAGACCATGCCCCTCCTCTGTTTCAGAAACTCCAAAGGATCCCTTTGATTACAGCAGGGGCTCCAAAGTGATGGTGCAGGGTGAGGGGGTGGGGGGGGAGAGGTAACATAGGGTGGGTGTGATATGATACGTTGGGGGAGTGGGAAGAAAATACTAGAATATTTCTAATTTTTGTGTTTTTTAATTTCTTATTTGTGTGTTAATGTTTATAAAGAGTATATTACATTAGTTGTACATATAAATAACTTGTAAATAAATATTGGGGGTTTGGGCTGAAAAAAAAAATTTAAGTTCAATTCCTCCTTAGCTGATTAATGGTTATGGAATTTGATCAAACCAGTATGTTGTTGTCTTATTTTCTTTATTGCTAAGATGAAATAAAATAACGCTTACCCACCCCCACAGAACTGTTGTGAATGAAAAATGACATGGATGACATAAAATTTACTGCTAAATTAGAGACAAAGGAAATACACAGCACAGTGCTTGGCTAAGTTAAGTACTTAACAGAGACTTCATTAAACGTTACCTCCATGAAGAGACATGCAAGGGTAAGAAGCTCTCATTAAATCTTTCAGAAGACCATCAGCATGTTCCTGCTTATCCACAAATATAATAACAGATCCTGATTCTTGATAATGGCCTAGAAGTTCAAGTAGCTTCAAGAATTTCTTTTCTTCTTCAATCACAATCTGAAAACAACACATTGTACCAAGTTAATGGAGTAAAAACCCAAATACATTTCATGAGCAAAAATATTCATTTTATTTGTGGCAAATAAATAAACATCTTCCTATAACTTTAGGAAGGGGTAGGAAAATGTTGACTTTAATTGATAAACCACTAAGACCAAAAAAATAATTGTAACTTTCAGAGACTAAGAGGCTTACAAATGTGGACAGATGATCATCTGTTCTCTTTTTTTTTTAATTTTTGCGGTACGCGGGTCTCTCATTGTTGTGGCCTCTCCCGTTGCGGAGCACAGGCTCCGGACGCGCAGGCTCAGCGGCCATGGCTCACGGGCCCAGCCGCTCCGCAGCATGTGGGATCTTCCCAGACCGGGGCACGAACCCACGTCCCCTGCACTGGCAGGCGGACTCTCAACCACTGTGCCACCAGGTAAGCCCCTCTCTCTGACTCTTAACTTCACATCCTATTAACCAAAGAATAACATAGGTATGTGACATTTTATCACCAGCCTACCACCTCTGGTGAAAAAAACTAAAAGAGCATTTAAACAGACAGTTCCATGGAAGAGCAAATTCAACTATACTTGGTAGGGCTTTCCTGGTGGCACAGTGGTTAAGCATCTGTCTGCCAATGCAGCGGACACGGGTTTGAGCCCTGGTCCAGAAAGATCCCACATGCTGTGGAGCAACTAAGCCCATGTACCACAACTACTGAGCCTGCGCTCTAGAGCACGTGAGCCACAACTACTGAAGCCCGCACGCCTAGAGCCTGTGCTCCATGAGAGAAACCACCACAATGAGAAGCCCACGCACCGCAACAAAGAGTAGCCCCCACTCACCAAAACTAGAGAAAGCCTGCATGCAGCAATGAAGACCCAATGCAGAAATAAATGAATAAATAAAATTTAAAAAATATATATATATATTTCGTAAAATGTTAAAGGCTGCAGTTGATACATACTATTTAATTTTAGAAATTATCTGCCTACATGACAACGATCCCAAAAGGATGACACAGTGCCTAAACATACAGGGAACTGGGGGTTTCCTAAGGACTGTACGCACCACTTGTTGCTCCACATCTGAGCAAACCACACTTCTGCCTCCAACCTGCACTTCAATGGGTTTACTCAGGATTCTGCGAGCCAAGGCCTCCATAGCTCTGGGGAAAGTAGCTGAAAACATAACTGTCTGTCGGTCAGGACGAACATTATCCACAATGCGCATGACCTGAGAAAACATTACAAATAGGCATGGTGAGTGTAGTGTCCAAAAACTGTAGGATGGTAAAACCAAGTAGAAGGAACTTTTGAGAACATCTATTCAGTGACTTTTAAATGTGTTACCTTAGAATATTATAATTGATTTTACCCTAAAATTTGCTCCTCTTATAGTTTCCCCCTCTCAAGATATGGCAACTCTAGTCATTTTGGTTTATGCCAAAAATCTAGGAGCCATCCGTAACTACTCTCTCTCTTACTCATCCCACACCCAATCCATCAACAAATTCAGTAGTCTTGATCTTCAAACTAAACCTACAATGCACCTATTCCTCATTGATATTTCTGTTTTCCTCCAATTATTCAACACATTTTTACTGAGCAACCATTATGTGCCAGGCATTGTTCTAAGTGCTTGGAATATGCAATAAAAATAGAGAAAAACTTGTCTTAATAGAGCTTATATTCTAATGAGGATGGACAAACAAATATATTATGTTACAAATGGTGATAAGAGCTACAGGAATAAAAAGAACAATGATGGTGGACATACTGTTGAGGGAGTGGGATACAGGTACCAATTAACTACCTCAATGTCTAAAGAGCCCTGGAGGAATCAGGGAGTTCTAGGATTCTTATGGCATAAACAAGCAAAAAAAGACATAATAAAATTATTACTGATGGTTTCAAGAGAGACAGGGGTGAGTGGTCGGAAACTGGAAAGGGTAAAGGTCTTGCCAGGAATACACAGGACCACATTTCTACTCCAATCAAAGATGATGTGATATCTGTGAAAGGGGCTGCCGTACCCAAGGCATGTGGAAATCCTGGGCTCCTGGTCCAAACCTCAACCATCTCTCATCTGGATTATTTCAATTGTCTCCTACCAGGTTTTCCTGCCTTTACTCCTGTCCAATCTGAAATCTATTCTCCACCCAGCAGCCAAATTGATGGCTTTAAAACTTATGCCAGTATTTTCAGTTAAAAATGTTTCAGTGTTGACAGCACACACTTACTTCTCTTCCCTTGAAAAACGCTGTAAAATGTAACAATACAGGGATTGTTTTAAAAAATTACACAAACCAACAAAGACCAAGAAAATAAGACAGGACACGATAGCAACAACATTTTGATTAAGTGGTACCTGACTTAGCAGACCCAAGAAAACTAAATCCTAAAATGGGAATGAACTAGACTTTCAACAAGTGGCTTCTCTTATACCCTATCCTGTTTCTCTTCTTCAGGAGGATTGCTCTTTACCACTTGGTCTTTACATAAATTTCAGAGTTAAGCTCTCTTTAATGTTTTCCAGTAAAGTTTCACAGTTTTCTCCAGATACATATTACACATCTTTGTCAAGTTTATTTTTTCAAGCTTTTGTAACTTATATGATTTCTAAAGTACATTTTCTAACTTACTGGGAAAAGAACTGCAAATGACCTTTCTTTACTGACTTTGTGTCCAGAAATTTTACTATTCTCTTTATCAATTCTAATAATTTATCTGTAGATTATTTTGAGTCTTCTACAAAGATAGTCATATCATCTGCAGATAACACTTGTTTCTTCCTTTCTAAATATTATACCTTTTTCTTGCTTACTGTGCTAGGACCTCCAGCAAAGTGTTGAGTGAGTGTTCACTACCTAATTTTCTTTCTTATGTTAAAAGCTTCAAAGTTGCACCATTAGGTGTAAGGTTTGCTACAGGCTTATTCTGGTAGCTCCCTACTAGTCCTAGTGTGCTGAATTTTTAAACCATCAGTGAAATTTTATCAAATGCTTTTCTACATTATTTGAGATAATACTATGGTTTTTCCCTCTATTCTGGTAACAGGGTGGACTACATTACTTGATTTTTCTAATGTTAAACCAGCCTTACATCCAAAGGATACTAACTTCGATATGATTAATGATCTATTTTAAACATTGCTATATTTGGTTCCTTAATATATTTTTTTACGGGTTTTGCATCATTGTACATAAAACTGTAACATAACGTTTGATTTCTGTATCAATATTATATTGGCCTAAAAAATGGAATAGCTACTATGGAAAAGTTTGACAGTTTCTTAGAAAGTTAAACATAAATTATCATACAAGGGTGGGGAAGATGGCGGAAGAGTAAGACTCGGAGATCACCTTCCTCCCCACAGATACATCAGAAATACATCTACACGTGGAACAACTCCTACAGAACACCTACTGAACACTGGCAGAAGACCTCAGACCTCCCAAAAGGCAAGAAACTCCCCACGTACATGGGTAGGGCAAAAGAATAAACAGAGACAAAAAATAGGGACGGGACCTGCACCAGTGGGAGGGAACTGTGAAGGAGGAAAGGTTTCCACACGCTAGGAAGCCCCTTCACGGGCGGAGGCTGTGGGTGGCGGAGGGGGAAGCTTCGGGGCCACGGAGGAGAGTGCAGCCACAGGGGTGCGGAGGGCAAAGCGGAGAGATTCCCGCACAGAGGATCGCTGCCGACTGGCACTCACTAGCCCAAGAGGCTAGTCTGCTCACCCGCCGGGGCGGGCAAGGCTGGGAGCTGAGGCTCGGGCTTCGGTCGGAGCATAGGGAGAGGACTGCAGGGAGAGGACTAGAGGCGTGAACACAGCCTGAAGGGGCTAGTGCGCCACGGCTAGCCGGGACGGAGTCCGGGGAAAAGTCTGGACCTGCCGAAGAGGCAAGAGACTTTTCTTCCCTCTTTGTTTCCCGGTGCGCGAGGAGAGGGGATTAAGAGCGCCGCTTAAAGGAGCTCCAGAGACAGGCGCGACTCGCGGCTAACAGCACGGACCCCAGAGACAGGCACGAGACGTTAAGGCTGCTGCTGCCGCCACCAAGAAGCCTGTGTGCGAGCACAGGTCACTATCCACACCTCCCTTCCGGGGAGGCTGTGCAGCCCGCCACTGCCAGGGTCCCGGGATCCAGGGACAACTTCCCCGGGAGAACGCACGGTGCGCCTCACACTGCTGCAACGTTATGTTGGCCTCTGCTGCCGCAGGCTTGCCCCGCATTCCGTACCCCTCCCTCCCCCCGGCCTGAGTAAGGCAGAGCCCCCGAATCAGCGGCTCCTTTAACCCCATCCTGTCTGAGCGAAGAACAGACGCACTCCACCCTACATGCAGAGGCGGGGCCAAATCCAAAGGTGAGCCCCCCGGGAGCTGTGCAAACAAAGAAGAGAAAGGGAATGTCTCCCAGCTGCCTTAGGAGCAGCGGATTAAATCTCCACAATCAACTTGATATACCCTGCATCTGTGGAATACATGAATAGACAATGAATCATCCCAAATTGAGGTGGACTTTGAGAGCAAGATTTATTATTTTTTCCCCTTTTCCTCTTTTTGTGAGTGTGTATACTTCTGTGTGAGATTTTGTCTATATAGCTTTGCTTTCACCATTTGTCCTAGGGTTCTATCCGTCCGTTTGTTTTTTTTTTTACTTTAAAAAAACTTTTTTCTTAATAATTCTTTTTTATTTTAATAACTTTTATCTTACTTTTTTATTTTATCTTTTCTTTTCCTTCCTCCCTCCCTCCTTCCCTTCCTTTCTTTCTTTCTACTTCTTCTCCCTTTTATTCTGAGTCGTGTGGATGAAAGGCTCTTGGTGCTGTAGCCAGAATTCAGTGCTGTGCCTCTGAGGTGGGAGAGCCAACTTCAGGACACTGGTCCACAAGAGACCTCCCAGCTCCATGTAATATCAAACGGCGAAAACCTCCCAGGGATCTGCATCTCAACACCAACACCCAGCTTCACTCAACGACCAGCAAGCTACAGTGCTGGACACCCTATGCCAAACAACTAGCAAGACAGGAACACAACCCCCACCCATTAGCAGAGAGGCTGCCTAAAATCATAGTAAGTCCACAGACACCCCAAAACACACCACCAGACGTGGAGCTGCCCAACAGAAAGACAAGATCCAGCCTCATCCACCAGAACACAGGCACTAGTCCCCTCCACCAGGAAGCCTACACAGCCCACTGAACCATCTTTAGCCACTGGGGACAGACACCAAAAACAACGGGAACTACGAACCTGCAGCCTGCAAATAGGAGACCCCAAACACAGTAAGATAAGCAAAATGAGAAGACAGAAAAACACACAGCAGATGAAGGAGCAAGATAAAAACCCACCAGACCTAATAAATGAAGAGGAAATAGGCAGTCTACCTGAAAAACATTTCAGAATAATGATAGTAAAGATGATCCAAAATCGTGGAAACAGAAAAGAGAAAATGAAAGAAAGATTTAACAAGGACTTAGAAGAACTAAAGATGAAACAAGCAACGATGAACAACACAATAAATGAAATTAAAAATACTCTAGAAGGGATCAATAGCAGAATAACTGAGGTAGAAGAAAGGATAAGTGACCTGGAAGATAAAATAGTGGAAATAACTACTGCAGAGCAGAATGAAGAAAAATGAATGAAAAGAACTGAGGACAGTCTCAGAGACCTCTGGGACAACATTAAACGCACCAACATTCGAATCATAGGGGCTCCAGAAGAAGAAGAGAAAAAGAAAGGGACTGAGAAAATATTTGAAGAGATTATAGTTGAAAACTTCCCTAATATGTGAAAGGAAATAGTTAATCAAGTCCAGTAAGCACAGAGAGTCCCATACAGGGTAAATCCAAGGAGAAACACGCCAAGACACATATTAATCAAACTGTCAAAAATGAAATACAAAGAAAATATGTTAAAAGTAGCAAGGGAAAAACAACAAATAACACACAAGGGAATCCCCATAAGGTTAACAGCTGATTTTTCAGCAGAAACTCTGCAAGCCAGAAGGGACTGGCAGGACATATTTAAAGTGATGAAGGAGGAAAACATACAACCAAGATTACTCTACCCAGCAAGAATCTCATTCAGATTTGATGGAGAAATTAAAACCTTTACAGACAAGCAAAAGCTGAGAGAGTTCAGCACCATAAAACCAGCTTTACAACAAATGCTAAAGGACCTTCTCTAGGCAAGAAACACAAGAGAAGGAAAAGACCTACAATACCAAA